AAAGATCACTGCTTTTAGAAAGATGCTGTTCTTTCTCTGCAACCTTTTCTCCCCCAGAGAAGGGAAGGTGAGACTTAAGGCACAGATTTGCTTCTCTCTTCACATGTAATTAATTAGTTCCTTTGATGAGTTTATGAATTTACATATTCTCGCACCTGTTTTTATGTTCCCTATACACAGAATGAACACTAACATTTTACATAATGAAGTACTCATTATAGATTAATTCATTAACTTTGCAAAACATTATCCCCATGCAACAGAAGCTTCCCACTAACAAGTTACCATTCACATGCAATCCAGAAAGAGCAGCTATTGTTCTTTTCCCATTTAGCATCGGGGAAATACTGGATTTCAGAAATTAAAGTATAATGACTGGGAAGGAGAATTCATTACGCTCATAATGTGAGCATCCCGCTGACCTCTTTGATTTAACAGGTGACAGACCTTACTGCTTAAGCTCCTTAAGCCTGGCTGTACCAAGCAGAGTGCTTCCTCCTGTCCGATCTAATGTAACAAACTTCGAATCAAATTGAATACGTACACTGACTTTTCTGACCAGAGAACCAAGAACATGCATAGCAGGAACCCTGAACCACCCAGCTGAGGGACAGGACATCCAAAACTTCATTAGCATTTGCACCAAACAGATCTCCTACAGGAAACTGCTAAATCTTGGTCAACTGCCCTCAAGACTTAAGCCTGGTCTTCTTAATCCTAATTAGTAAAGTCTCTCTAGAACACCTGCCCAGTCATACAAAGTTTTTGCAGTAATTAATTCCAAATATAATGAACCAAGGCAATCTAGATTGTGACACAAACCTTAAATGACGTGTTTAATAGGACGCACATTCTTCTGCGATGTTATCTGCCATGTTACTAAGCCGTATTTGCATAAACCCAGTTCCCAGCATGGAAGCCTACAGAACACAGACAGAATGGCATGCTCCTGACATCACAGCTAGGATCTTATGAAACTTAGCGACTGGGCAATAAAACGTCGAATGAGATTCAATATAAATAAATGGGAAAAAACAACGCTAAACTTACATGTGAAATAAGAGGTTCTCAGCATACCATTACTGGTCAGGAGCAAGATCCTGGAGCTATGGTTCACAGATTCATGAATCTACGAACTCATTGTTAAGCAACAGTCAAAAAAAGCAAATGACAAATTGTGCATTATTATAAGGAAAGTACTTAAACAAAATAAAAGGCATCATTAGGTCACTACAGAAATACATGGATCACCTTTCAAATAGTGTGTACATCCTACTGCAAACCTACAGAACGGAAAGAGTTCACAAGGGACACGGCTGATCAATGTATGGGACTGTTTCCGTACCAGGGACAACTAAGCCAGTTCGTAATCTTCAGTCCGTGAAAGAGACCACTGTGACAATAACATGAGGAAATGTATAAAATCATGAGGGTAGGTAAGATGTTTAGGAGATGCACTGTTAGCTGTTTCTTGCATTTACAAGAACCAGGTAATAAGGACACCAGTAAGTGCAAAGCTGCTAAAAACAATTTGGCTGTGATTCTTCGTGCCACAGCATGTTGTGCAGCACTGACAAAGAGAATGAAGAATTTTATGAAAGAGAGATTCACTAAGGATGACCAACAATGCCTAAAAATAGAGAAACCATATCAGGCTCTGGAAGTTTCTAAGCTAAATAGAGTTGGAGCCCAAAAGCCTAAAGGAAAGTGGCATGTATGTTCATGATTCTCCCTGTATTCTCCCACTGACATCTGCTCTTAGCCACCATCACAGCCAGGGTATTGGACTAGACAGTCATTGATCTGATACTGTACAGCCACTCGTGGTTTTGCTTCCTTTAATCTAGAAGAACATCTAACATTTTTCTTTACGAGACAGTACACCATCAACACACAAGAATCAGATCAGCAATTCTGATTGATAACTTAATTTACTTTCCAATTGAATAAGTGTATCATCAGAAACATCGGTAATTTATCCTTTCTGTAGTATGCCCTGATTACCAACAGCGTAAAAGGAAACAATTTCAGCAGCAAATGAAAACAGATCAAAGTAACAGATGCTCTGCTAAGGGCATTACTTTTAAAAGGCAAAAGTATTTTGATCATCATTGTAAATCTGGTCTTCAAAAGAAAAAGGTACCATAGCTATCATATGATTAAAAGTCATGTCATAGTTGCCATTGATTTTTCTAGCTCTTGACTGTTCTTCACATCAGGATATTACCTGCCTCTTTAGAAACTACAACATTTGTGAAGTTAAAAGCAATATAGGAAAATCAAAGTAGCAAGTAAAAATGTCAATGCACTTAGCATCTCTGATAATACTTTCGAAGTACACACAGTACATAGCACCCAAAGATACCAAAGCTCTAAAGAAACACTAACGGATTCTACTCCTTTGTCATCACTGAACAAGAAAAGGTTGAATCACTTCCAGGCTTCAGTTACACAACCTTTCAAAGAAGCTGTAGGCAGAAATAACAAGGTAAAAATATTGTTCCAAGATGTTGTTCATATGTGGTACCATAAATGTTAGATATAGGTAAAAGCCAGAGGCCCACATCCACTATCCCACAACCATCCTATGTCAATACCAAGAAGCATGTATGTTATTTACTCCTTCTATAGAGTATTTTGTTTGTATGTTATTTCATCTGAAAACTGCTGGACAAATGCAGCTTCAGAGTGTCTTTAAAGCTTTTGGAGACGGCAAATTAAGGAAATTGTATATATTTCATATATATAAAAGTTACAAAAAACGAAATCACAGAACTGGAACTTGTCCTGGGTTTGGTTGGAAGAGAGTTAATTTTGCTCCCAGTAGCTGCTGTGTTTTGGATTTCGTACAAGAAGAATGCTGATAACACTCCTGTTTTCAGTTGTTGCTATGGAATCAAGGACTTTTTCCAGTCTCCCATATCCAGCTAACGAGCAGGTGTGCAGGAGCTGGGAGGGAGCACAGCCAGGCAGCCAGCCCGAGCTGGCCAACGGAAATATTCCATACCATGGATGTCAGGCTCAGTTTATGGATGGGGGTTGGCAGGGGGGCAGGACTCTCTCTCTCGCTTTCTTTTTGCCATCAGTTCAAATCCACTCTGGCCCAGAAGTTCTGTCTTTTTCGGGAATTTCATGAAATTTGCAAGTTCTGGGTTCTGTGATCACTGCTTAGGGACTGGCTGCGAATCAGTCGTTGGGCGGTGAGCAAATTGTATTTTATATAGTTTGTTTTGCATATTCATTATTATCATTAGTAGTATTAGTATTTCCTTTGTTGCCTTATTAAACTATCTTTATCTCAACCCATTTGTCCTTTCCTCCTCCCCATCCCACTGGGGGGGAAGGGGAGGGGTGAGTGAGTGGCTGTCAGGTCCCAGTTGCCAGCTGTGACAGCACTAGAGACAGTGATGTCTAGCTTTTAAAATACTGACTTTCATAATTATTTTTCAAGTTATATTGATTACATTGATCAAGTTCCTTCTCATTTCCATGTCTCTGATTTCTTTCCTATTAATGTTAATCTGTCAACAAATAAAAGCTAAGTTTCCAAAGTTCAAATTAAATTTTGAATCAGCTGACCTGCACACTTTCCATACAATGTAATAGCTAATGAGTTGAATTATGATCTAAGAAAAGTTCTTGTAAGATAAGCAAGCAATAAGCCATTAGAATTTCCATGCAAATGAGAGGTCATCTGCGGGGTACACGAGGACCAAGAGTTCAGGAATCTGTCAGTAATGCAGTATCATCTGCTCCTGAAACAGTAAAATCATCCCACAGCTTGCGTTGGCTCTGCTCCTCCACCCCCGCAGTTCTATGAATTTGTAGCAGAAATTTGTGTTGTATGGAATTGCAATCCCTATCCAGCGCATTTCTCAAAGCCCCAATTCCCTGGCAGCTGTGTTTTCACTATAATATCAGGGTGTGGTCTTACTCCACTATCAGCTTTTTCAAAAAGTTTTAAAGTAAACTTTAGTGTAGCAACACTATGGGTTTTGTGCAGTTTTATACTAAAATATTTTTATAGTTTATAATTTATGTAATTTAAACCATGGAACTTCAAAAAACAAAAAGTCTTTTAATAGTCTTTACTAACAATCAGTATAATTTCTGACTAAATGCATTTGCAAGATAACTCACAGAACTCAGACCTACTCAGTTTGAATAAGCTATGAATATAATTTTGTTGTATTTTTTCTATACTGAAAATATTCCTTTTTTAAAGATTAATTATACTGATAATGCATACCTGCAGCTGGATCCTGGGAAACAGTCCAAATAATTATGATACCCTTTTTTTTTTTTAAATACATGAATATTTTGTTTTGTGAAGTTAATTCAATCAGTGTAAATATATCAGGCAATTGAAAAAATACAGAGTATAGCAATTACTCCAGCGAGACTGTGTGTTTATTATGAAAAAGAAATCCTTATTACAAGTATCTGGTACTTGTAATTCCCAGTAATTCTAATACAAGCAAACAATGGGTTTTCTTATTCAAAAGAAACTATGAATTTAAGCACATGAAACTCTCTACAGTTCAGATATTAGGGGGATTATGCCTACATTTCAGCATGTCACTTCTGGCAAAACTACAGTCAGCCACAATTAAAAATCCTACAATCTGGGATAACTAAATGATCAACTTCACATTATTTCTCTTTAAAACAAACTGATGTTTGCAAACTATTTATCTTCATAAGATAAGGATGCAGAGAGACACATCAAAACCACTCTGTCAAGAAAGATTTAAAAAGATAGCAGGGCAAGGTCCCATGATGGGAAAGTTTGGTCAGACAATCACGTCCATAGTTGTCACAAAAATTAAGTCTTGAATCCATACAGCTCACTGAACAGTTGTCTTCGCATTACAAGACGCAAATATGAAAATACACAGCCACATCAGACACCGTATTTTAAAACAAATGGCACAACAATTGGGTAGTTTTTCTCAGAAGTACATACAACCCTCCTGAGCAAGGAGAAATTACAAACTCACCATCACTGAGATCCTGCAGAAGGTTTTCTTGGCATGAAAAGTCCAGCTTCACTTTAATGTTTACAGTAAACGTTGCAATCTTTCCAGGTTTTAGAGGAAACTGGGAGAGGGTATCTTCTAGCTTCCAACTCAAGAAGTCTCCATACAGCTTCTCTGTATTAAAATAAGGAAGAATTTCATGAGCATAACCCCTGTGCTCAGGAAGTTTATAACTGTTGTACTGAGTACCAACCAATTTGTCATTTTCTGTTTATATTCTGAAATATTCAGAATGAAGGCATTAAAAATGAATGTAATACTAGAAAGACATTAGAGAGGTTACTGACTTTGACCTGGAAGCATGTAGATCACAAAGCTCAAAACATGAATCTAAGTGAAGAAGAATGCTACCAGAAGAAAAACACTGCACAATAGGCAGCATTAGATATACACTTTGAATACTCGAGAATACAGCCTGAAGGAGACCCAGAAGTTCGCATACTTTTGAATCACACAGACTCCAACTTAGGAAATGGCACAAGAATGCAAAAAACATTTCATGAAAATATTACACTAAAATAAATCAGTTAAAATCCTGAAACACAACAGAGAAGGCTAGGAAGACTACTGGCTTTCCTTTTTTTATAAAATTAAGTCTTTCCTCAAAACTGAGAAGCAGAAAGTATATAAGACCTGAATATTAAGGCTACTCCCAGACAGGACAGTTTGTGTTAAAAGATACTTGTCGGAGAAATTATCACCAGTTCACATGAGATACAGCATCTGTAATTATTAGCTCCTCTGTCCTAAACCTGAAGTGCCGGAAGGTAATACGAGAAATAAAACCCCCCAGTATTTACTGTTCATCAATACACTGAGATACTTCATCCATTTATTCAGTCTCCTTATTACTCTAGTAACATCAAAAGATCCATCTTGAAAAAAAGAGGAGCAGAGGGCTGAGTCCACTTCAGGACTAAAGGTGAGCTAGCTAGGGGTCATTTCAAGCTCTGAAGCAGGCCAAAAGCTAGTGTCGTGGACATTAAAGTATCTTCAGCAAAAGCAATCGAGAGTGACAGAAAAGGTTGTTCCATATTAGAATAGCACAATAATACAGTGACTTATTTGTGAATTTATCTTACTTCAGACACTAAACAGACACGAGAAATATCTGCTAATATCTTATTTCTTTTACCCACTTCATGAATGATCCCTGGCAGGGTAGAGGGATCAGCCTCTCAGTGCTTCACTTCTAATCCATTGTACAGGATGGCGTTAATTGTCTTCATAGCAGCTGATACGGTGCTATGTTTTGGATTTGTGACTAAAAACAGTGTTGGTAGCGCACCAGCTTTTTGGCTATTGCTGCACACTACTTGCACGGCATCAAGGCTTTCTCCTTCCGCAGTCTGCCTTGCCAGCGAGTAGGCCCACGGTGGGCAAGAAGCCAGAATACAACACAACCAGGACAGCTGAGCCAGACTGACCAAAGGGATATTCCATGCCATAAAAGGTCATTTTGTTTTGTTTTTTTCTTTCTCTTTGCTTATTCAACAATCTGTATCTCTACCTCTTTATCTCTCAGGGTGACGGAGC